ATTCCCCTCTCCAAGTTCTCCACTGTCTTAACTGGGTATTGAACTCACACTCTTTGGGTCCTGTCACTGGATCTAACTAACGTTAGTCCTGTTATTCAATCCAGAGCTGGGAGGAAAAGAAAAGGATTCATACCTTGTATGGTACCTAATCTTAAAAAATATTTGTGAGAGAAAAAAATAAATGTATGTCTGTATATAGAAATTTATATCATATTCTCCCAGAAAATATGTACAGGTGTGTGTGTGTGTGTGGTGGGAGGCACTTGAAAAGTTTTCAGTTTGACTCACTTTCTATAAATGTACCAAATGAATAAACATCATTTTTTTTTTCTTTTGAAGGGTTTCTTGGTCAGGTTGAGAACTTTCATCACCCTCTTGTATACATACTTATGAATTTATATACTTTTTTTCATGGTAAAATTCCCAAAACCTTAGAATAGCGTCATATATATATATATGGGCACATAGCCAAGTGGTCAGAACATTTGCATTCTGACTATGAGGCCTGGGTTTGAATCTCACCATGGTCAATTTGTCAGGAAGGAGACTTCCTGATGTTATCAAACTGAAGTGTGCGGTACCTTTGGAAAGTTCCTGAAAACCACACCATGGATTAACCCAAGCCTTGTGAGTGAAACTGGGTAGACAGAGCCCTTGGGGGCTGTAGATAGCTAGATAACATGCTCTTTCCTAGAAACTGAAACTAAGGTATGCTCAGCATAGTTACAGTATAAACCACAGGTGAGCTCTGTAGGTGTTGAATAAACACAAATGCATCTGAGCAAGTGTCTGCAATAGGGATTGGCTAGCCACCCTAGTATATATCCTTGAATACAAGTGGCCAGCTATATATATGTATATAAACATTCATCTGAAAAGCTAATTTACTGAGTGAGCAAAAAATAAATAAATAAATATATTTTTATTTGCTTTTAAAATATTTGAAAGTTTTTTTCTCAAACTATTTTTTTTATTTCATTTTTCAAAAATATTTTGTTTTAATTTTCATTCCACTACAATCTAATTTTTTTCTTGGGTTAATGGGAGTTGGCAGCTTAGAGCAGCAGCTGAAAAGAGCAATGTCTAAGCCAGATGATCTTCAAAATCTTATGGCCAAAGAAATGAAAACCCATTAGATTAGTAACAAGTGAACCATTTTTTAAAAATCTTTTTAATATTTGTCTTTCCTCTGTATTGAATCCATTTTCAATAAAAAGCATGAATTCTGAATGTTTGCATCTTTTAATCATTTTTAATGTAGTTCCTCCAGGACCTAATGTGATAGTATCTCTGCACAGCTTCTTTTTCTTTAATATCTACAAACTATGAATTGCCACAACTTTTTTTGGGAAAGGTAGATTAATGGTTCCCTGCTGCCTTCTCTATAGCTTTGAATTCAAACTTGTCTTTTTCCTAAACCCGTTGCCCTCCAAAACTAGAGAGCCCATTCTGCCCTATTACTTTACCCTCATAGCAAAGTTAATGCAACAGCCTTGACCAGAATTTAAATTCAGTCTACTGATATCATTTACCATGCTTAAAATCATTATTCTACCTGTACATTTGTACATGCCACTAAATGAATTTTGATTAATTAAAAAAGTATGTTGTATTTCTGTGGATTTATGAAAGAAGAAACTTGCAGATTTCAAAACTAAACTGAATGGAATTGATGATCTGAAAAAAAATATTTACACCAATCCTTTTGTTTTCATCGTACAAATTTATTTGAACTACCATATATTCTTGCGTATCGTGTGACATTTGAAAGCCTAATTTTGAAGCTAATTTGACTAGAGTAAATATAATAGCCAGAGCTAGCAATATATATGCTAATTTCATATCTTGTGTATGATGCAACCCCCTTAAAATTAGCTTCACAATTAGGTCTTGAAAAGTCATATGATATGCAAGTATATATGGTAATTGTAGCCATTGTAAGCTCCATCATTCCTCAAGTGTCTGTTTCATTTTTAAGTGTCAAACCTTGTTTCGAAAAAAATCATGTCTTTTCCCCTCTTATTTATGTGCACAACATCTGGTGGCTATACCTTCAAACTCTTGAAACTGTTCTCACTTGACCCCTACATCGAACTCTTCACCTAATAAATTAGGTGATTTTCAATAGCATTCGAATTTTGGGATTATGTCTTTAGAAATTCAAATTTATTATTTGTTCTTACTTTTTTTTTTCTTTTAATCAGTATTTCTCATATGTTATTGGTATCTATGCTCGGTCAGCTCATCTGAGCATAATATATGTGAAGGTTCATTTGTCTTATTCTCCAAAGATTTGATTCTGAATTACTATATTTTCTGGCCTATTGGATGCACCCATGAATTGGATATGCTCAGATTTTGTCAGGGAATATTTAGGAAAAGCAAATGCACATATGACAACCAAAAAAATCAAAATTATAACCTTACCTTTATGTGACAATCTCACTAACCATGAAGAAACACTTACAGTATTAGCAAAAATTATACTACTGGTACTTTTTTTTAATAGAAGAGATGTAAAATTTAATTACCAGGACATGTTTTGGAAAAGAAGAATTTTATTACATTTCATCATGCATTTATTGAAAATTATTTTAGTTGTTTTTCAGGTAGCAACATCTGCATATACAGTAAATTGTTAATAACTACAAAGAACTATACAGGTACCAGTGAACACTGGTACATCTGGTAATAGGCAAAAAAAAAAAAAAACAGAAATCTGGTACTTGTCGGTAAATGAAGTCCCATACCATACATGCAGAAAAGCAAATCCCAATACCTGTATATCAACAAAAACACACACAAAACAAACAGTAATATATGAGTTAAAGCAAATATTTCTGTAAAATCTAGTATTTCTACAAAACAAGCAGCAAAATATTGTGCAATTCCATAAATTTCTTAATTTCTTTTTCCTGAGTGAATATTTCAGGGATATTTTTATTGATATTACATTTGTTCACTTCTAAGAGTTTTAGTTTCAAAGCTAAGTTCTATGTGTGCACAGATTCCTGGTGAACCCCACTTTTTTCATGGTTTTCATGTCCCTCTCATACATGATACTGCTGTATTGAAAGCAGGGTAAGTTGAAAAAAAACATCTGCATTCAATCGGCTTACAAATATGGTAATTCTATAAAGGGTGGTGTACTCACCACTTTTCCTCCATACAGCATCAGCTTCTGATTATAAGGTTTCTGCATGGATTACAATTTTATTTTACTTTTGTATTCTCTGCCACAGCTGTATAGAATGTTGTACATGCAGATCTTAGTCCTGTTTTCTTCTAGATGAAGCTTTACTTTAGCAGGATATCTATATAGAGAAGGAGGGTTTTGTGATTAAAACATATGATCTAGGTACAGTGCAACCAACATCAACATTTCAAAATCAGATACTGGAGGGAAGTTGGGGTGTACAAAAATAACTGTGACATTAGCTACCATCCAAATCTCTAGGCTGTGCTTGAATAAGGCTACCTTTGACTTTGTCTTACTGCTCTTCTTTGCTGAATAAAGTGATTTTAAGTCATGTTAAAAATAACTGATATGATTGTGCAATGCCTAATGTATTATATGTATAATATCATGTTACATGAATCAATTACAGATATTTTCATTTTTTATTTTAATTATGTTTACCATGGCAACATTATTGCATTATGCTTGTGTTGCTGCTGCAGTATGAACTCCTAAAAGCATTGTATATGTTTAGAGCCTAAATAAAATATTTATAATAATATTCTAAATATAAAAATACATACAAATATACTAAAATATCATTCAAAATACTCATATGTCCATTGAAATCATTTTTTTCTCTTAGCAAAAATTATGGTTATTCTGGAGTCAAAAAAAAAAAAAAAAAAAATGAAAAAATGTGATTAAAAACAAAAGATGAGTAAACTAGTCTGACTAAAGCAATAAAATAAAAACAACACATTGTCTTTTTTTTCATTCTGCAGAAATTTTACAGCTAAATCCTTTCCATTTTCCTTGATGTAAAATTTTAAAATGCCAATATAGAGACCCAAATATCCTTGCAATTTTTGGTATACAAATGTATTAATCTGTAATAAATTGTGATATGTTTTTGTACTCGTTCTTGTTTGACTACTGATCACAAAAGCTTTTCATTTTAAGGCATGATAAATATTATTTTACATAGAAATGCAGACTCAGTGAATTCTGTTCTGACAAATGAACATAAATTCATATGTTTGTATGTCGATAATGCTAAAAGAGTTTGTATCTTCTTTTAGGTGATTTTTTTATTTGGTCTTCAAAGTACAAAGTAGACAAAGTCCTTTACTGTAAATGATTTTATTGACCCATTATCTTTTAAAAGCCCCATATATTTATGAGAATATTTAGTTGATAATGCTTGATGAATGATTGTTCAAGGTGATTCTTCAACAAAATGCGACATTGGCTCTCTTCACACAAGAGCAATTTTTTAAATGAAAAATTTAGTGAATTATTATGATTGTATTTGGCATTCGCTATGCTCAATTTTATTATTCATGTCAATGTTTTCACAATAAAATTTGTATTAACCAACTGATATTGGTAAAATTTTCAGAATAAATTTATATGATAAATATATGTGAATTTTAGCTTATGTGTCTTTGTTAGAAATATTTATAATAACTTACTTGGTAGGGTAAAACTTTATTATGCAACTTTAGTGTGGTTATTCGAAATATATATATAATATAGTTGTTGATATTTATTTCTAATTTTAGATATATAAAGATTTCTAGGGATCATAAGAAAGGTATGACGAGAAACATTTGACATTTATTTTCCATGGCTTATCAACCCGTTGCAAGTTAATTAAAGCCAGAAAATATTTTTAGATTATAATTAACCCATAGCTGGGAGAGAAGAGGTATTTGTACATAAGTGAATATAACAAACCCAACAGGAATTGGAATTTGGCTCTCTGATTAACAATTCCAAGCCATTATCGATTACACCACCTGTAAATCCAAGCTTAGAGCAAATGGTGCTCTCAAGTGGTCACCCATCTAGGTACTGATCAGGCTCAACATTGTTTAACTTTGGTGATCGTATGGGAACCGGTGTTTCAATTTGATGTGGCCAGAAGCCAAGAAAAACAAGGTCATGTAAAGTTATTGAGTGATAGAAACTAAACATTAGAATTAAAAGTATATTGATAAATTATCAAAAAACAGTATTAACATAATCAAATGTTGAAACCATCTGACACTGAATATAAACCCTTCAAAAATACACCACTTGATTTCCTTAGTGGCATAACAGTTGGTTTAGCATGAATGAACAATAACTGACATCACATAGACAAAATAATACAATTATCAACAGATATCCCATATCAAGCAAACAAAGATGGCCACAGGGTATTTCACTGAAACACTGTGTCTATTCTGTCAGATTCTAATCCATATTTGATCTTGATTCAAAAACATATATAATAATCAAGCTGAGAACAATAGTTTAAATGATTTAAAAATGCCTGATATTAGAAATTGTAAAAAACTGAGCAGAAATCATAGAATCATCATAAAAGAGATTGAAAACATTAATAACAAGAAACATTGGCATTAAGAATGTCACAAAAGGAGGTACTAGAAAAATTAAGAGTAATCATCAAGAAATGTGGACCAACTAGCAAGAAAATATTGCAAAAAGCTGCTGTTGTGAAAAGAAAAGTGTTAAGTTACATATAAGCTGAAAAAGTCTAAGTAGATATAAGCTGATTTCTCATTAGTAAATTTAGTGCTGAATATTGAGCCACATTGAATAGACTTAATAGATGTGTAGGTTATACCAATTTGCAAAAAAAAACTCACTCGGGAGCACTTCTTTCTTCTCTCTCTAGACTCTTTTCACCACACAGGCTTTCAGATGTAGTCGTACATACAGTTGGAATGCAGCAACTAGGCTTGCATGTGTTTTTGTTTCTATTTTTTGATTGCTGAACTCTATCACACACATTTCTTACACAATCACACACACACACACACAGAAGTACACATTTTCTTACAGCTAGTTTAAATCTTTTTCTATGTAACTAGTTCAAATGTGTTCTTTTATTGTAATTGTATATTCATGTAATTCCTTTTTGTCAATACATGCAATTAGTTGTTGTTTGTTTTATATAGTTTTTTTGTGTAACTCATTTTTTTACTTGGACTCACACAGAGTTTGCCATAATTGTTGTGGGATAGATATTCCAGGAGACATGTTTCTACCTAAATGCACTAGCATCCTGTTAAAACAGAAAAATCAAGGTTGGATCCATCCATCACTGAAATAGTCAACATAACTTAGAAGTGTCAAGGTGAGTAAGTAATGATTGGGGCTTCTTATTATATAGAAATTAAAGTTATAGGTCCTTTTAACTTCTTAGACATTTTTGAGTGGTAAAATTCACAACCAAGAAGCTTCAAGCTTAGAGAATAAAGAAAGATTCATTCACGATAATGCTTCTTTGCATTCTGCAAAGTTGGCGGTTGCCAAAAAAAAAAAAAAAAATGTTAAGGAGTTACCGAGAGAGGGCATCATGCATTTTTTGTAGCTGTAGGCGGAGTTGATTTCGGTACGATTCGAACCTGAGCTTCGCATTAATTAGTTGAGGTTGATTTAAAAGAACGATTGAGATCGACACGAGGTTTTTTTTTTGGAGAAAAGCATTCTTAACGGCGACTTGAAAGGGCAGTTTAGCGAGGAGAAACTGGCACGAGAGACCGTGTTTCTTTCCATTTTTTGTATTTTAGTTCACTTTCTTTTTACGTCAAAAAGAAAAATAAATTAATGATTAGGATGGCCCTCAGCAGCAACTAAAGGGTAATTATATTCTACTGTTTTGTTAAACCAGCAGTAGGAGTTAGAGGGGGATCCAATCCAGATAATGAATCATTGACTATATGGTATTTCCCTACTCCTTTTCCAGGTATAATTTTGTATTTTAGCGTATTTTGGCAAATATGGCAGTACCCCTGACGCACATGTGCGCCCACTCTTGTCAAGCTGTTTATTATTATTATTATTTGTTAAAAAGGAAAGATACAAAAAACATAAGCATCACTTGAAAGAATTAACAACACATTGGCATCATTATTTAGAGAATTTTAATTCTATTTACCAAAGTTAAAGTACTAGGTGTCTAACAATAACCGAGTAAACAAAAACATAGCAGTGAAAGTATTAATTTTTGCAAATGCATAGCCAATTCCTTGAAATCTTTTAAATAATAAAATCGCTCTTAAACAAAACAAGACAAACTATTTACTTCCAAGTTCCAACTTAAAGACCGATTTGCTGTAAGCTTATCAAAGAAGAAACGAAACGCTTTACACTTACCAATATATTGTTACGTGGTTAATACTTCCTTAAAACAAAACATATGTCAAGAGAACAATTATAAAAACTTCAGCATAAAGAAAAATAAATGTCTTTTTTGTCCATGAATGTAAACAAAATAGAAATTCTCCGCCAATATAAACAAGGGGAGATAAATAAACAAGGGAGACAATTTATATTAGTGACTTCAAATTAAGAGTTAAAAAAAGAAACTTTTTTTAAACATTTTAAAATATCATTTGATGAAAACAAGAAATACCAAAGTTAGTGATCAAGCAAAAGGGGTCGGTACAATAGAGAATAAAAGTAGAAACCAAAATGTCGCTTTATTTATGCAATCTTTCAGCGATTTTAGTCATTTTAGTACCAAAAGTACTGTCTGGAATAGTTATGCTCTAGTGGGAATTTTTAACTTAAAATAAGCCTGCCGGTTGAAATAAACGTTCCATCAGAAATTTTTATATAAATGTGGAACAAAATTATCGTGATATAGTGAAAAATTACTTAAAATGAATGTGTTCCATACCAAATAGTGATTTTTCAAGCGTAGCTGAGATGTGACACATGGCCGAAAGTATGGGGCACCCAGTGAGGATCGAACTCACTACTCAGTCGTAATTGCTTTAGCGAGATAAGCTTGCTAACCATTACACCACCTCGAGGTACCCATGTTCCATACCAAATAAGCACTATACCATGCGGTTGGGGTTTATTAAAGGAAATATTAATGCCAACATTTTATTTGGTACACAAGGGTATGAGTTAGAGAATTATTTGATTACATCTATGAGAATAGACAGAAATCGGTGTTTCTAGAGAAATGCACCTCCCAAGAAATAAACATTTTTAAAAATTCTTTTCATATTTCTATCAAATTAGCAGTCCTGATAAAAAAAAAAGTGTTTTTTCATTTTTAAATTTTAAAAGGGGGTTCAATTTGCTATGTATATTAGTTGTGAATTAATCCCCTACACAAGCAACAAAAAAATTATCATACCACATGATAAATCATATTCTTATTTTGCCAACAGATTTTCAAATAATTTCATGTTAAAATAAACAAGAAAATTTTATTTAACGCATATTCTCGTGTCATTTTTCTGTGTTGTATTAAAATAAAGCTTACATACATAATTGCAAGACAGCTGCAAAATATTAAAGCATCTTCTTACTTAACTGTTGCTGCTGCTGCTATTATTATTATTTTTTTTGGTTTGCATTGGGGGATCAGTTTACAATAGATTTACATAGCAAACTGAACTCCCCTTAGAAATTTTATTTTTGCATGATATTTGTGATTTGAACAGCTTAGGTCATATAAAGAAATAAAAAATAAATTGAAAAATATGATTATTTCTTAGGTGCTTTTCTGTAAAAACCATAAAATGGTCACAACAATGCCCAGGTGAATAATAACATTTTAATTATCCTAAGTTACAATACAAAAACAATATAATGGTAAATGACAGACAAGATATCTGAAATTAAAGGTTTGTCTCTGGTTGAGAAATGTAGTATGATGTTAGATGTGTTAAGGTGTAGTAGTCATAAAATCCTGAGTGATGTCACAGTTATTAGGACAGAAAATTATTGATGTTCACTTCATACAAGGCTCTTGAGAATTCTCTTCTTGAGGTTTCATTGCTAGGCAAAATATCATGTCACTGGAATGACAAAATGATTGAAGAAGAGGTGTATATGCATGCACAAGCAAACCACTCTCATTTGAAGACAGTAACAGTTTTCAGTGTTACTGCTATAATCAGCCATGACAGGATCCAATCAGAACAATGCTATGGTGATAATGATACCAGAAGGCTGAGATGCTATGTAAATAAGAAAAACAGAACGTGAAGTTTAAAAAAAAGGGAGGTAAAGAAAATCAACAGCAAAATAATCAATTATGTATAGCGAATAGAAAATAAAACATTTCTGTGAACTACTTTTACAGATATTAAGGGTAACTTAAATTGTCTTTTGTAAAGAAAAAATAAAAAAAGAAACTAAGATAGAATTTTAAATTCAAATCAGATGAAGATGAGCCAGAAAATTGTAATTGCAAGAATCTTCTGTTTTGTGTCTCTTCAGGTCATGAGTGACCATGGATATTCTCAATTTCTTATCCTATGTAGCTCTTTGCAATAGTAGTCTTTTTACTATCGCATTCTTTCCTGTCCTGTCATCCATTTACACAAGCTCATTAGGTAGGATACTTGCTGTTTCCTTGTCTCTCTTGCCTTCACTATGATCTGTGAATATCAAATTTCCCAGGCCTTTTTTCTCATTTGCTGGTCCCAGAAATTTCAATGGTCTCTTTCCAGTTTTAATGCATAATTGTCCTGGTTTCCATTTTCCTTAAAACTTCATTGCTTACATGCTCCATCCTTAGTATTCTTGACATCCTTCTGGAGAACCACATTAATGTTGCTTCTTTTTTTATTTGTGAGGATTCATTGATATTATATAGCAGTTCACCTATTTCTTTGTTTTTAATGAAATTTTACTGTTTCTTAATACTTTATGTTTTGCTCTTTCAATGTGCCAGTGTGAGTGGATTTAATAGCAAAGTAAGAGGTTGCACAAGTGTCCAAACTCATCCTCTTGACATTTCTTTCTGATCCAGCGACAAAACAGGGTCTATGAGGATTAGGCCAGACTAAACTTCAATGCAAATGATGTCTTTCTTATACTTCAGATCATATGTGAATTAAAATGGCCATTGACCCTACAATAGTGTTCATTCACCCTTTCACAGA